TTTGGACAGACCCCTCCTTTGGCCAGGACAGGGCCCTGGGGTGGGGTGGGCTAAGAGTGGAGTCTAGAGAGGGAAATCGCTTCTCTCCCTCAACTCCTACGCAGGTCAGCAGCGGCGTCAAAGAGGTCCAACTAGGGGACTCCTGTGTAAAAGGTGGGACAAAGGAGGGGCAGGTGCCCTGAGCAACTTGTGTGGTGCCCATGGGCAATGTGGAGACAAGAAGGGGCCAGGGTATGGGTAGGGGATGTGGGGGCCAGGGAAAGCTCCAGGCTTGTCTCCCCAGTATAGCCTACCACCCAAGCTCAGAGAGCTGCTCAATGACTATTGACCCAGTGAGTGAGTGAAAGATAAAGGGAACGGTAATCCGGGTCCCTGGTGGGAAGAGGCCTGAGGATGACTTCTTTAGGAGAACCACCATAGACATCTGAGCACCAAGGAGTAAGCATGGAGCGCGCCCGGCTGCCAGGGAAGGACTCTAGTTACTGTTCCATCTACTCAGTCCACCATCATGTCTGAACACCCACTAGCTCTGAGCTAGGAGCCCAGGGTTCCACAGTGATTCAGATGAACACGAGGGGCCTGCTAGCCTTCAGGTTCATCGAGTATGAAGAATGGAGAGGGTGGGAGTGTTGAGTGGAGGGAGAGGGAGGAGGAAGGGTGAGAGGCAAGTAGAAGGTGAGCTGCTTTCTTCAGTTGATGGGAAGCCTTGGACCAGCTCTTGCATCGAAACCTGCAGAACTGCAGCCAGCCGCACCAGCTGAAATGCAGCAAGAGGCAGCAGGAAGCCCTGCTTCTGGGAGGGTGGGCTCTTCACCAGGAGAGAAGAGAACAACTTGAATTCTAAAGGAGCCCATGAGGCCATTGGTTTCCTACAGCACTCCTACTTGAGGACTCAGAGGAGAGCACGGCCCCTGTGGGGCCCAAGTGTCATTAGCAAAGGTGAACACACATACACACACACACACACACACACACACACGCACGCGCGCACCATTGGCTCCTGAATCCTGCTTTCTACCACCACAGCTAGCTCTGTGACTTTCTTGGAGCTGTCTTGTTTATCCAGGGACTTCCCTTTCCTCTCTGCTGTGCCTCACATAGAGTACGGTGTTTTTTCTATTCACGATAGAGCATGTACGAGAGAGAGACAGAAAGAGAGAGAGAAGGATGCTACCTCCACAGGGTGTGGTTATGATGCAATCCCCTTCCTCCAAACCCCCAGCCCACAGGATCTGGGTCAGTCTCGGGCCGTTTCAGGCTGACCAGGGAGTTGAACCACAATTATCATGTGGGATCCAGCTTCTGTTGAACAATGAATTATCTCTGTGTCATGGCCCTTATAGTAGGATTTTAACAAATGTTTCTTGAACCTAAAGTACACTATGAAGGGAGATAGACAGGGCTGCTTGCTTTGGGCAAAGTTTGAAAAAGCAGGCTGGGGAGAGATTCCGTTCAAGATTTCTTAGCCAGTCAACTGCAAATCCCCAAATAGAAGGAAACCTCCCCCCCCCAAACACACCCTCCCATCCCACTGCCAAGGTGTGGTGCCCTCTGTGGCTGTGCCATGGGGCCAGACTGAGAGGAAAGAGGAGATCCTATAGGATGTGGAAACTAGGCTTGCTAACGGGACTGCTGGGAGGTGGGCCTCACCCCTGCCCCTCTCTGGTCCACATCAGACCTCTATTAAGTAGGAGCATCTCGTGCAGGAGGTGTCTGGGAGAGGCATAATGTTCACTCCAAGGAATGCCTCCTTATCCCGAAATAGTGGCATGCCTACTGTGCACCTGACTGGTCTTGGCCCCTTTGCGTGAGTCCATCTCTAGGCCTCACAACAACCCAGTGAACAGCTTGGTTCCACACTGAAAACTGGCACCGCGATTCTGACCTGCAAGGTGCAGGCTAGGAATATGCAGTCCCAGGGCTTCCTTCGTCTTGTATTCTGTGGGATTGGATTCCAGGTGGCACCTCTCGTGCAGAGAGCCATGCAAATGAAGTTGTGCAAAGAGACGGCCTTGCCTTCCAGGTAAGAATTTCTTTCCCCTGTTTTCTGGGGATACAAACTTAGGTTCCCAGGAGTCACCTACCCAGTAAGCAGCAGAGGCCAGACTCAACCTTGAATGAATCAGCGGTCGTTCTCTTCTGACTTCCTGTCCCTCTCGGCTTCCTCTCCATGCCAGCCTACCCTGGGAGGATGGATGGAAATGCTGCGTTAATGGCATCTGTCACGTCCCTGACTTATCACCAGACATCCTCGATGAGCCAGATGCCAGCCGATGGGCAAGGAGGTGAGTGATGGAAAATAAGTGTATGAGTGATGAAGTCGACTCTTGCCAGAACATGAGGATGAAAAATCTCTTGACCAAACCCCATGTCTAAAGCTGTCAGGTCCCAATCCCAGGGACACAGTCACCATTCTGCCCTGGGAAGCGGGGGACAGGGGGCAGTCCCAGGCCCTCTGAGAGGCACCCTTGCCAGAGGCTGCCGATGGAAGAGAGGCCCTGTCTTAGTTTGCAGCCAGCCCTGCCCTGGGACTTGGTCTCTCAGGCAGACTCCTGTCTCTGAGCTTCTGAGGGGTCATTGTGCTGCTCCACAGCTGTTCACCTTGGACCAAACCCAGACTCAAGGTATTTGTGGACTGTGGGAGGAGCACTACAGGAAAGGCAAGCCCCCAGAGCTTGGCCCAAGGGTAGAGGGGAGTGAAGTTTACCCTTGTGGAGGCAAATAGCTTAGTGTCACTGGATCCAGATTCTGGTCTTCTTTGAGTCAATTATTTAACTTCTGGTCTTAGCTTTGATTGCATTAAGTATAAAACAGCCTGGTGATAGAGTCATGAGCATCCCTCAGTCCTCTGACATGGTATAGAGGTCAAGGTCATGAACCTTTTTTAAAAAGTTTTTGCCCAAGGGCATGTGTGCTCACTGGAGAGAGAGAGTGAGAGGGAAAGTGAGAAATCAACACCCAGAGGGAATGACCCCACTGCAATCGGATTTTGGGTGCACACACACACATGTGCCTGGAGTATCTCAAGCCACCAGGTCTGGGACTCAAACTGCAGTTGGCCATGTGGGAGTCCAACACCTTAATCACTGGCAACCTGCTGGCCCTGAGGTCACGGACTTGAGAACCAACCTGCCTGGCTCGAGACTCCCACTCTAATGGTTGCTTGGTGACCTTTGGAAAGTTACTTAACCTTTCTGTGGCCTCTGTGCCTCAATGTTTTCATTCATAAAATTGGGGTAATGGTCGCATCTCCACTAGAATTGTCAGGAAGATCGGAAATGTAGATGCTGAAAACAGCGAATAAAGGTACACGATGAGTATACAATATGAAGCTACAAAAATAAGGCTTCTCGGGAACCAGCAGTTAGCGTAATGGCTATGTCGCTGGACTCCCACGTAGTCGACCGCGGTTCGTGTCCCGGACCCGGTGGCTTAAAACTCATGCCGGGTGCGTGTGCGTGCGTGCCCAAGATCCCGAGAGGAGAATGGAGGAGAAGGGATTGCGGCGTGACCATCCCTCCTGGGGGGTGATTTCTCGCTTTCTGTCTCTATGTCTCTCTCTGTCTGTCTGGCGAGCGCACGCGCCCTACAGTGAAAATCTCTCCAAAAAAAAATAAATAAGGCTTCTCTGAATGCTCATTATTACCATCATCATGCAAGAAGATACTGTACTCGGGTTAGTGGGAACAGGCCCTGTCCTCAAAGAGTGTGGGTCAGCACTACAGATGATATTAAAAAAAAAAGGGGGGGGACCAGCAGGTGGCGTGGTGGTTAAGGTGCTGGACACTCCCACATGGCAGACCACAGTTTGAGTCCTGCACCCGGTGGCTTGCTTTCTCATTTTCCCTCTCTCTCTCTCTCTCTCTCCCTGTCTCTCTCTGGTACAATTAAAATAAATGAATAAATTAAAAAATACATAGACAGGGCTGTTCGCTTTGGGCAAAGTGTGGAAAAGCAGGCTGGGGAGAGATTCCATTCAAGATTTCTTAGCCAGTCAACTGCAAATCCTCAAATAGAAGGAAGCCCCCCCCACACACACACACATCGCTTTCTTTCAACAGATCAAACTTAACTGCAGAAATTGACATTTTTCTTAGTTGTCCTTCTTTTAAAAAAAAAAAAAATTCTTGCCAGAGGATACATGTACTTGCTTGAAGGAGATGGGGGGAGGGGAAAGAGGGAGAGAGAGCACCCCCTGTGAGTGTGTGGTCACACCACAACCTCTTCTTCTCCATTTCTTTCTCTTTTTGGTATTTCGGGCATGTAAGTGCATGCACATGTACCCCATGTGTCTCTCAGACCACAGGGCTGGCATTCAGACCATATGGTCAACCATGTGGGATCCAGTTCCTTTAATCACTAGGCCACAGGCTGACCCCAAAGAGAAAATATTTTTTAAATTTTAAAATAATAATAATTTATTGAATTAATTTTATTTGTTCTTCTTCTTATTATTATTTAACTTGAACAGAGAGAGAGAGAAAGAGAAAGTGAGAAATTAAGCCACCAGGACTAGGACTTGAACCATGGTCCACCACGTGAGAGTTCAACACCTTAACCACCATGCCACCTGCCGGCCCTGAGATAATATTTGTAAAGCACTTGACATCAAGCCTTGTCTTGGAGACTCAATATAGTGTGACTCTTACTATTTTTATTACAGGCGCCAGGACCCTTATTAAATTTATGTATTTAATTTATTATTATTATTGTTGTTATTATTTAATTTGCTATAGGGCATGTGTGCCCACCAGAGAGAGAGAGAGAAAATCAGAAAGCAAGCCACCAGGTCCCAAATTTGAACCATGGTCAGCCATGTAGGAATCCAGTGCATCAACCACTACACCGCCTGCTTCCTGTCCCCCATTATTAAATTTAATCCACTCATCTCTGAGAGATCAGGAGTTCTATACCCCTTGTCGAAAATAAGACCAGAGGCGCGTCCTTCTTTCTTCCTCCGCGTTGTCTGTGGAGGTGGCGGCCATCTCTTACTTGGCGTCATGGCTGCCCTCAGGCCCCTGGTGAAACCCAAGATCGTCAAAAAGAGGACCAAGAAGTTCATCCGGCACCAGACTGATATGTCAAAATTAAGAGCACCTTGCGGAAACCCAGAGGGATTGACAACAGGGTGCGGAGGAGATTCAAAGGCCAGATCTTGATGCCCAACATCGGTTACGGCAGCCACAAGAAAACGAAGCACATGCTGCCCAGCGGCTTCCGGAAGTTCCTGGTCCACAATGTCAAGGAGCTGGAAGTGCTGCTGATGTGCAGTAAGTCCTACTGTGGAGATCGCCCACTACGTCTCCTCCAAGAACCGCAAGGCCATTGTGTAACGGGCAGCCCAGCCGGCCATCAGAGTCACCAATCCCAACAACGCCAGGCTGCTCAGTGAAGAGAACGAGTAGACGGCTCGTGTGCACGTTGTTTGTTTCTAAATAAAGCCACAACCTCCCCCCAAAAAATAAAATAAAATAAAATAAAATAAAATAAAAGGCCAGGGGCCAGACAGTGGAACAGGGTAAAACACAACACTCTGCAAAGCAGCCCACCCAGGAAGGTTCCGGGTTCACACCTGCAGACCTCCCTGAGTACACCAGGTATGCTTGTGCCCGTGATCCAGCCAGCTGAAACTGGGGGTGGATCCTGCATCAAGATTCTAGGAGGAGTGCTGTATCTCTGTCTGTTTGTTTCTCTCTGTTTCTCTTACTCATAAAATTAAAAAAAAAAAAAAAGAAACAAAACAAAAAAACACCTTAAAAGATATAGAAAACACTAAAACCAGGAGAAAGGAATGGTGCTGACCACGTTTGCATCACCACAGCCAAATTATTCCCCCTACGAGCTGCCTCCCTGAGTCGCCACCCAGCTATCAGCAACAATTTTTTGGGAGGGGTTGGAAAATGCAGGGAAGAGAAAGGATCTGTGTTTGAATCAATAATCCCATTATGAATCTGTCACCCATGAATGTGTTTCACTTTTTTAAATGCTCTTGTGTATTTTGGGCTTGCCCCTGGGGGTCAACCTTATCTTTCGCTGGCTGGGGAGTTCTCTGGAGAATCTCAGGATGGCTTTCCTCCAGCCTCATCAGACATTGGACCAGATACTCTGTTTCTTTGTTCAGTAAAGAGGCTGATGCTGGGAGAAAAACAAGAGAGATTGTGATTGGCATTTAACTTACACTCAGTGAACATGTATTAAGTTCTGGACTTCTTACTATCGTCTCAGTGAATCCTAACTTCCCTGAAGGATACGTATCATTTTTCAAAGGAGGAAGCAATGTTGGAGAGGTTGGGTGCCCTCCCCAGGAACGTGAAGCAGCTAAGGGACAAGGTGGCATTCAGATCCACTGCATTCTTGTTTTTCTTATTCTAACTCATTTTGATGAAGTCCCATTTACTGATTATATATATTATATATATATGTATATGTGTGTACAAGTATATATGTGTGTATATATAATCATATATATAAGTATTTATTATTATTGTTATTTAATTTGCTATAGGGCATACATGCTCACCATATATATATGTGTGTATATATAATCATATATATAAGTATTTATTATTATTGTTATTTAATTTGCTATAGGGCATACATGCTCACCATATATATATGTGTGTATATATAATCATATATATAAGTATTTATTATTATTGTTATTTAATTTGCTATAGGGCATACATGCTCACCATATATATATGTGTGTATATATAATCATATATATAAGTATTTATTATTATTGTTATTTAATTTGCTATAGGGCATACATGCTCACCATATATATATGTGTGTATATATAATCATATATATAAGTATTTATTATTATTGTTATTTAATTTGCTATAGGGCATACATGCTCACCATATATATATGTGTGTATATATAATCATATATATAAGTATTTATTATTATTGTTATTTAATTTGCTATAGGGCATACATGCTCACCATATATATATGTGTGTATATATAATCATATATATAAGTATTTATTATTATTGTTATTTAATTTGCTATAGGGCATACATGCTCACCATATATATATGTGTGTATATATAATCATATATATAAGTATTTATTATTATTGTTATTTAATTTGCTATAGGGCATACATGCTCACCATATATATATGTGTGTATATATAATCATATATATAAGTATTTATTATTATTGTTATTTAATTTGCTATAGGGCATACATGCTCACCATATATATATGTGTGTATATATAATCATATATATAAGTATTTATTATTATTGTTATTTAATTTGCTATAGGGCATACATGCTCACCATATATATATGTGTGTATATATAATCATATATATAAGTATTTATTATTATTGTTATTTAATTTGCTATAGGGCATACATGCTCACCATATATATATGTGTGTATATATAATCATATATATAAGTATTTATTATTATTGTTATTTAATTTGCTATAGGGCATACATGCTCACCATATATATATGTGTGTATATATAATCATATATATAAGTATTTATTATTATTGTTATTTAATTTGCTATAGGGCATACATGCTCACCATATATATATGTGTGTATATATAATCATATATATAAGTATTTATTATTATTGTTATTTAATTTGCTATAGGGCATACATGCTCACCATATATATATGTGTGTATATATAATCATATATATAAGTATTTATTATTATTGTTATTTAATTTGCTATAGGGCATACATGCTCACCATATATATATGTGTGTATATATAATCATATATATAAGTATTTATTATTATTGTTATTTAATTTGCTATAGGGCATACATGCTCACCATATATATATGTGTGTATATATAATCATATATATAAGTATTTATTATTATTGTTATTTAATTTGCTATAGGGCATACATGCTCACCATATATATATGTGTGTATATATAATCATATATATAAGTATTTATTATTATTGTTATTTAATTTGCTATAGGGCATACATGCTCACCATATATATATGTGTGTATATATAATCATATATATAAGTATTTATTATTATTGTTATTTAATTTGCTATAGGGCATACATGCTCACCATATATATATGTGTGTATATATAATCATATATATAAGTATTTATTATTATTGTTATTTAATTTGCTATAGGGCATACATGCTCACCATATATATATGTGTGTATATATAATCATATATATAAGTATTTATTATTATTGTTATTTAATTTGCTATAGGGCATACATGCTCACCATATATATATGTGTGTATATATAATCATATATATAAGTATTTATTATTATTGTTATTTAATTTGCTATAGGGCATACATGCTCACCATATATATATGTGTGTATATATAATCATATATATAAGTATTTATTATTATTGTTATTTAATTTGCTATAGGGCATACATGCTCACCATATATATATGTGTGTATATATAATCATATATATAAGTATTTATTATTATTGTTATTTAATTTGCTATAGGGCATACATGCTCACCATATATATATGTGTGTATATATATATGATTTCTTCCATGAGAGTGAGAGAAAGACAGGCATTGCCAGCAGAGGCATCCTACCACAACCCACTCTCAGCCTCCACCAGCCCCAGATCATGGGTGTACATGGGACCCAGCAAAGACAGAGAGGCCCTGGGATGCAAACCCGGGACCTTCCCATGTGAATCCAGTTACATTGCTACTGGGCCACCACCTCACTTTCCATTCTTGTTTCCTTGAGGACAGAACCAAAGCCTCAAGCAGAGGAAGGGTTCTTGACTACAGAGAGGCAAAAGTCATCCCTCATCCCAGGCTGGAGTGACCGTCTTTCCCCATCAAGAATTACAGGTGAGAGGCCAGCAGGTGGCATGGTAGTTGAGGTGCCAGACTTCCACATGGCTGACTGTGGTTCAAGCTCCAGACCTGGTGGCTTGCTTTCTCACTTTCTCTCTTTCTTTCTCTGGTCAAATTAAAAAATAATAACATTAAATGAAATACTTCTTAAAAAAAAAAGAATTACAGATGAAAGGGAGGGGTACCCAGGTACTCCTGAGGTAAGGCTGGGTGAATTCAGGACTGCTACGAACATCTCCCCTCAAGCTCCTAGATCTAGTTTTTCTTCATCATTCTCCAAGAGCCTAAGGAGCAGTCTACACCCTGCAGTTTTCTTGGTGGGTCCAGGTGTGGGAGGGCAGGAACAGGTTCCCGGTAATGTCTGCAGTGTCTCTAGCCTGTCTTCTGGAAGTCACCTTCTGAGGGCTACCTGTGGCTCACCTGAGGGGCTCATCCCAGGACTCCCCCAACCAGGCTTCAGTTGCCCCTGACCCCTGTGCCCTCTCCCCCTCAACATCAACCCTGCCTTAGGCTCTCAGGGGAAAAGCAATACACCCCGCACACATGCTGTCCTCGCTTCTTCCGTCATGCTCACCTGCAGGCAGGGTGGCACGGTGGGAGGAAGCACGCTGTGAAGAAGCCAGCGAGGACTTGCCCCTTTCCTGGTTTCCGGGCTGCCTCGGGCTGTGCCTTGGTTTCCCCTTCAGCCTCAGATGGTGGGAATACGCAGAGCCTTGACGTCCTGAGGAGGCATTTGCTCTGCTCTATTTCACAGGACTGTTGTAGGATAGCCTAGTCAAAAAAGATTTTTTAAAAGAATTATTTGTTTATTTAATTTTATTTGTTATTATTATTTAAAAAATCTTATCAGAGAGAGAAAAATGGAAAGTGAGAAAACAAGCCTCCAGGTCTAGGACTCAAACCATGGTTGGCCATGTGGGAGTCCAGTGCCACAACCTCCACGCCACCTGCCGGCCCCTAGTCAAGTATTTTTTTTTTTTTTAAATTTTATTTGTTATCATTTTTAAATTTTTCTGTTGGACATATGTGCTCATCAGAGAGAGACAGAGAGAGAGAGAGAGAAAGGGAAAGTGAGAAAGCAAGCCACCAGGTCCAGGACTCAAATCACGGTAGGCTATGTGGGAGTCCAATGCCACCTGCTGGCTTCCCAGTCAAGCATTTATTCATTCGACAAATATTTATTAAACACCTAGTGTGTGTCAGACACTCCTCTTAGTGGGAATACCGGAGGGTAAAGCAAGCAAAGCCTCTGCCCTCTGGGAATGAATAGCCCAGCCCTGGGAGACAGTTCACAAAGAGGCAAGTAAGTAAACAGGCAGATCGTTTTATAAGGTGAGCAGTGCTGAAGACAGGCCTGAGCAGGGCTCCAGCCTGACTGCGGGAGGGGCAGCTCCTCCTCTCTTAGGGAGGAGCCTTGGGGCAGAGACCCGAGTGGTGGGAGGCCAGTGAAGTGGAAGCAGGGGCAGGTGGATCGGTTAGGGGACAGCAAGTGTGCATGAACAGGGGAGGAACCGGGAGGGTGTTTCTGAGGACCAGCGAGAAGCTGAGATAG